AATGCGTACCTCAAATCTTCAGGCGAATTGGCCACGTGCGCCCCTGGAGCAGCCATCGGATTCTCACCAGCGCTAGGCGTTTCTGTGGGCGTCTCGGCTGTGCAGGGGGTCTCCCTGGACGTCTCCCTAGGCGTGTGGGCTGTGCTGGGTATCTCGTCCGTGCTGGGCCTCTCGGTGGCCATCTCGTCCGTGCTGGGCGTCGACCTGAGCGTCTTCGCTGCACTGGGCGTCTCCTTCGGCGTCTCTCTGGGGTCGCCCTGAACGTCTTGGTTGCCTCTCTGAATAACTGTGAATGACAACCACTGACAGCCAGTCAGGGGTACTGTCGTGAGTCACTTAGGGTAAGGTATTGTCACGACTCTTGACACTTCCTAACCCTAAGTGTCTCAAAGGTTCATATTCACTAGTTTAGTTCAAATGTTAGTATAGCTAGTTCAGATGTCAGGTTTTCTCGTTTTTATGCTCTACTAATAGCCCGGGAAGCCCAGGATATTTAAGGTACCGGTATTTATCGGTAAGCTTTTAGATGCTGGTCACACAGTCTCAAGTGGGCGATTGTCCTTCCGCTCCTCAAACAGACCCAAATCGGCAAATTTCGACGGAATTCACAAAATCTAACAACGGAAAAGATATCATGTCGCAAGAATGTCGTTCATCGCTGAGGTCGCTCGAATGTCGTTCTTTACCGGTTGGGTCAACATTCACTTGATTAACAGAAAAAATTTAGAGGTTATGATGGATTACGTCTATTTAAATGCTTCCCACAAACACACATATATCGGGAAATTACACATGTAGCCTAATATATTTCTACAGGTTCGTCGACGGTTCTCGATCCCACCTAAGACTCACTCTGAACTCTGAACTCTGAATATAAATATCCAGAGAGCATGTACCTGTCGTGTATAATCAATCTACTGTTTACAGACTACAACTCGTGTTTCAGTTACTTTGATCTAAAAAGAAAATGCAACATCTATAACAGCATCTGCTATCGGCGATATTCACAAATCAAATACTTCAAGTACATGTCTTATCACCTGGTACCCATAGTATGGCTTCATCCATTGGTGTTTACCTAGTTTTGATCGCCTGCTGGGCCTCGTGATACTTAAAACTTATGAACACAGTTTGGTGATTTGATTTGAAGTGATTGATGCACTTTAATTAAGATATTTATCATAGCTCGT